TTGGGTGAAATGCCATTACAAAACACTCTTTCTGTTTAGAAGTTAGTGAACAAGATATCTAAGAAGAGACTGATCCTAAGGTAGGTGTTTTGATCTGACTTACCTGTTTGAAATTACATCGTTGTAGAAGCACACCAAGTTCTCATTCACCACCTCTTTGTTTTCCTGAATGAATCTGTGTTCATGTCCAAATGCCCGGATAGTGGACACTCCTGATAGAGTCTCACTAAAGTGGGAAATGATAGGAGAACGGGAAGCTCCTGCCAACCGCCGAATCTGCCGAGAGCTTGCCATGTAATATCTCTAATTAGAGGACAGAAAGAGACAGTTGGAAAGATGTACCTGAAATTGCCTCAGTGGTTTAAAAACTACAAGACCCCTGGGTAGTGATTTAAAGAGTGATCCCAAAAAGTGACATATAAGTCCTAATCCCCGGTACCTATTGAATTATGACTTACTTGGAAATAGTATCTTTGCAGATGTAATTAAGTTAACATCTCAAGATGAGATCAGCCTGGATGTAGGATGGATCCTAAATCCAATGCTGAATGTTCATATAACAGACAGAAAAGAAGACACAGACACAGACACAACGGCAGAGACTGGAGTGATGTGTCTATAAACCAGGGAAAATGCCAGGGATTGCTGACAGCCACCAGAAGCTAAGAGAGAAGCATGAAACAGATTCTCAACCAACCCTGCCTGCATAATTGATTTTGGACTTCTGGCCTCCAGAACTGAGAAAATAAATTTCTGTTGTTTTAAGCCACCCAGTTCATCGTATTACTATGAATAGGTTATTAAATACTTTGTTACAGGAGCCTTAGGAGACTAATATACCCACACAACACAGCAAAAGGCCCAAATTCTGGACAGCACCACTAGAGCATAATCAGGCAAAATTTCTCTTTGACAGTGATCTCAAATGATCGTGATTGAGTATCTACCATGGAAAAAGCTCTGCATCAGATGTTGAAATTGTGACCAGGCAGTTAATCCACTAAATGCGGGAAACAGA